TATATGAGATAGTTCATAAAGGTTTGTTCAGCACCTGGAGTGCTGATCTCTTTCAGGCCCAGTGGCCAAATTTAATTATCATAAGAGAATACAACAGGAAATAGGAAGCTTCTCTACATTGAACGTTTTTGATTGCTTTTTTGATAGCTTAACTACAATGAACTCTTTTGCTGATAGTCCTAAGATCAATTATGGTGAATATTTCTGGAGAAGGGAGGAGGGGGTGCCACTACAAGACTAGGGCTAGAGGCGAGCAGGTTTTCTTTTATGTCTTATTTACTAGGGAGCACATAACCATGTTTTTGCTAATTTGTTTGATTTATGAAGTGATTTCCTCTAGTCTGGGTTTTCTGTTATTGTTACTCCATCTTAAAATTTCCAGTTCTCTTTCTGATTTTGGGCTGACTCAAAGTCCTCTTCTATTTTCAGATGTTGAAGAACATCAGACCTGACAGTTTGAAGTTCCTGGTTCTCATTCCTTCTAATCTGTTTCAGAGAGAAAACGAATGGGCTAATGGCAAGGCAGGCTAGGAAAGACATCAGTGGAACAGAGGTGGGGAACAGCAGGGCTAGATCTGAGGAACTAGCAGGTCGTGGAGGTGACCCAAAGAAGGGCAGCCGGTGCTCAGCACCAACATGCTCAGCTGTCCAGGACTGACACTCTCAGCTGGCATCAGAAACAACAGGGCTCAGAATGCTGAGTAGAAGGTTCTGCCACCACACACCCACATGGGTGTCCAGAAGAAGTAGTTCAGGTCTTACGAAAGAAATAATTTCTAGGGACTAAATAAGGGGGGAGAACGATGATCCTGTGGGACAGGAGGCTTGTATGATTTCAGGAGTCCATTAGCAAAATGAATAGAAAAATATCTCACTTTTCAAATGCAACAAAGATTTTCAAGAGTTTTTTAGGACTCTTGTCAGGGATGTGGCAGGGGACCATGAAGATGAGTGGTATGATGCTTAAGTTTCCTTAATTTTATTACCTCTACCCATAGTTTGGTTCAGACTAGGGCTCCAGACACAACCAAATCAGAAAACTGAAGACATAAGCCCTTCTGCAGAACAGGATAGATTCATAAAACAAGGGTAAAGAGAGAGAAGGTGGTTTGATGTTCATGTGGTTATGGAGGGCGACTAGCCCAGGCCTCTCATATAGGTTGGACAGTGTGCACTGGGGCCATATGACAGCATGCACAGAGTAGCATGGAGATTAGGAAGTGCCCTGGGTGTCTTGTGGCCAATCAGGAAGAGAATGGGGTCTGGTAAGGACTTAACATGGTAATTTATTTGCTTTTTCTCCCCCCCCCCCTTTTTTTTTGGTACCAGGGATTGAACCCAAGGGCACTGAGCCACTGAGCCACTAAGCCACATCCCCAGCTCTTTTTATTTTCAAACAGGGTCTCATAAGGTTGCTTACAGTCTCGCTAAATTGCTGAGGCTGGCTTTGAACTTGCAATCTTATTGCCTAAACCTCCTGAGTCTCTGGGGATTACAGGTGTGCATCACCATGCCCAGCTATTTATTTGCTTTTTCATTCAGTCACTGAATAGCTTCTATGCTTTGGAGGATGAGAAATGATTAAGGTCTGGTGCCTACCCTCAAGGATCTTAAGTGTAAAAGCAGTATTTGACACCTGACCATGATGCAACCCTGAGTCCCCAGAGGAAGTCACCTGGACCACAAAAGCCTTTGGAGGAGTGTAATGAGAATGCTGGGATGATGACAAGGCACCAGGGCATTAGTAGGAGCTTGCTGAAGACTGGAAGCACATTTGTCCCTGCACATTTAGAAAGAAGCAGGTTGACCACTGTCCCTGCTTTGTTCTGTCTTGGTTTTAGCATTAGTTTTTCCAGCTATAGTAAAACGGGGACAGTTAGCCAACCTAGGAGGGAGGAACACTGACTAGCTTCCCTGGAGGAACTAGGGCATCAAAGTTTCTGGGCTCAGGGCCAAAGCACCATTCATTTATTTTTGGCATGTGACCTTCAACATACTTTCTGATCCAGCCTTGGGAACTCTAGCCAGGTTTCTTGAGCCTGTGGGAGTCTGGTGTCACCTGGGCCTGCTGTAAGAGCATAAGGAGCTAGAATAATGGGGAAAGAGGCTGGGAGAATGATCAAGCCCAGAATCTGAGAAGCGGCAGCCAAAACAGATGAAGGTTAAGAACACCAGGTGATGGAGGTCACAGTTCTCTCTGACTCAAAAACCATGGACTGACCTGACCTTTGAGCCAGTGCCCTGCATACTCCTTTCCCTAAGGACAAAGCAGGGTCAGAAGTGTAAGGCTGCAGCACAAAGACTAGGGAAGAAACAGTATCCCTTTGTTCCTCTAGGCCTCTTCTAGGCAACAGTCTGTTGGTTTAGGTAAATCCGCCTGGATTTTTATTGGGATCTTCACTTTAGTTTACCTCACACTCAGCATGTGAAATTACATGCAAAAATTTGTAAGAATCTTCTTGGGCTGAACACAGTGGCATACGTCTGTAATCCCAGCTACTCAGGAGACTGAGGCAGGAGCATTATAGGTTCAAAGACAGTCTCAGCCAATTAGTGAGACCCTGTATCAAAAAATAAAAGGGCTGGGGATGTTGATCAGTGTGTGTGTGGGGGGGAAGAATCTTCTTGGGATGACAACATTCAGCAGGGTCTCAAAGTTGTTCAAGATCTGAAACACCTTTAAAAACACTTGACTAAGGGACTGGGGCTGGGGCTTAGTAGTAGAGCACTTGCCTACCATGTGTGAGGCACTGGGTTTAAAATCCAGCACCACATTTAAAAAAAAAAAATTAACTAAACAAGACAAAGCTTAAAAAAATGCCAGACCAAGTATTTTTTAAGGTACCTATTTTAATATTCTATGATTCTTTAAAAATAATTGATTCAAATTTATAAATAGAATAATGAAGGAACAGTCAGGGTTCAAGAAAATATCATTTTGAGAAATATGCCAAATATTAACACTGAATAATACAAAACAGTTTTCTTTGTTGTGGATGGGGAACTGTCGTGGGGTTTTGTGTCAACTTGACTAGGCTATTTGGGCAAACCACGTGTACCCATTGGTTTGGTTCAAACACCAGACTAGAGATTGCTATAAAAGGTATTTTTAGATATGATTAACATCTAAATAAGCTGACTTTGAATAAGGCAGACTACCTTCCATAATGTGGGAGGGCCTCACCCATTAGTGAAAAACCTTAAAGGCAAAGACAAGTTTTCCAAAGAGGAAATTCTTTTTTTTTTGGAGGGGGGGTGTACCAGAGATTGAACTCAGGGGCACTCAACCCTGAGCCACATCCCCCAGCCCAATTTTGTATTTTATTAGAAACAGGGTCTCACTGAGTTGCCTAGCATCTCTCAGACCTTGCTAAGGCTGGCTTTGAACTTACGATCCTCTTATCTCAGCCTCCCAGGCTGCTGAATTACAGGCATGCACCGCAGGTTAGCAATTCTCAAAATTGCCACAAAGCAATCTTGCTAGAGTTTCCAGCCGCTCTACAAAATTTCCAGAACTTGCCAGTGCCCAGTCATGTGCACCAATTCCTTCAAATCACTTCTCCTATTGGTTCTACTTTTCTGAAGAACTCTGACTAGTATAGGACTCCTTAGTCATTTATTTAAAATTACAGTACTGGGAAGATCACATACAACCACTGAATAAAATAGCCCCGGTGAAAGCAGGCTATTTGGAACAAATGAGTTCTTTTGGCCTGTGGCAGGGTATAAAGAAAAAATAACACTTTGGGGTGTACGTTCAAGCTTCAAGTGTTATGGCTAAAAACCAGTTTGGTCAAATTGGCTGAAAGCAAATAGGTAAACAGGACCATTTGACCAAACCATGATTTGATCCCAAATCAATATGCATCCTTTTCTTTTTTGGCAGTTTTGCAGATCCAACCCAGGGCCTCTCCATTGAGCTACATCCCCATTCCTTCTAATTTTATTTTGAGACAGGGGCTAAGTTGCCCAGGCTGGCCTTGAACTTGCCATCCTCCTGCCACAGCCGCTGGAGTCATTGCAGCCAGGCTGCTATCACTTTTTAACTGATATGCCACTTTGCACTATTTAACGTTTTCACAAGAAGCACATATCCGTGTTACTCTGACACTTTTACAGAAACATAACGAGTTTTTTCAGTTCTGGTTTTAGAGGGCTCAAGGCACTGGGGGGTGCGGAGCGGGCGTTACCGCTCGGTAGGGATCTGCACCCTCTCCCAGGCCAGCGCGGGGGAGGCCGGTGAAGTTCGCGCAGACCCCAGTCTTGCTTCTTGCCAAGTGCGTGGAAGAGCCCAGACCCTGTGAGCAGAGGTGAAGAGTTTTTTTTAAAAAAAGGAGGGGGTGCTTCGTGAGGCTTCTAGATTCCGCAAAACACCAAAGCAACATCCGCTGGGGTGGAGCGGGATGGTAAAATCAGCCTCCCAGCTTCCTCCTTTCGCACCGGGTCTCATTGTGCCGTATTTCACCTCAGCAGGTATATACTGCGGCGCATCCTCGGGCAAACTCGACTCGCTTTTCCGGGGAGTTTTGGGGGACTCTCCGAGTTTACTGATAAACACTTCCGGCCGAGTTTTAAATTTCCTTTCGCGTCACTTGATTTTTCTCCATAGTGATTCCTAAGATGTAACTAGGGTTGGAAGAAACCCAGGCGCTGCTGCCTCTGGGAGCGGGAGGCCGTAAGCGAAGTCATTAGAACCGATGGCTAAGTCCACGCCACCTCCGCCGGCATCCGAGGCCACGGCGGCGAAGACAAGACCAGTGTAGACTCCCGGCGCTCCCGTTCCCCGGCTCACCTCTACGCTGCCCGCGCGGCCGCCCGGCGCGCATCCGTGACGTCACGACGCATGGGCGGAGCCTCGGCGGGGCGGGGCGCCCGCGGTCTCGCGGAGGGGGCGGGGCGGGGGCGGTGGCCCGGCAGGGCGCGCTCAGTCCCCGAGGTGCCGGCGTTTATAGCCCACCCGCTGTGGAAGCGGCTCCGGCCGAGCGGCGAGCAGCGTCGCGATGTCGGGGCTGCCCACTAGCCTGGAGCAGCTGCGCCCAGAGCAGAGCACGCTGGAGGCGTCGCGCGCTCGCTTCGTGCTGGGGCTGGACGTGGGCAGCTCTATGATCCGCTGCCACGTCTATGACCGGACGGCGCGGGTCTGCGGCTCCAGCGCGCAGAAGGTGACAGGGGAGCGGGCGTCGGGGCGCAGGTGTGGGTCTCGCGGAACACGCGGGATCGATCCCGAGAGGCGAGCGGGCGGGTCCGCCCCTCCCAGCCTGGACGCGGCCACCTGCCGCACGGCGGGCCCGGGGACCTGAGTGGCGCGCCCGGACGGCCACATCGCGCATTCCCTCCGCCGGCGGGCTGCACCGCGGGCGCCCTTCCTGCCACGCTGAGCGCACCCGGCGGGTGTGTGACCCGCGCCGCTCGCGGGCTCTGTTTCCTGGAAGTTCCCTCTCCGGCCTTACCTGGGTGGGACTTGAGGTGATTCACTGTGCGGCGCTGGGCAGGGTCCGTGTATCCAGCCAGAGGTGGTTTGTGATTTGCTTGCTTTTTCCTGTATTTCTTTGATAAACCTCCAATTCCGAGTTTATTTACATTAAACATTTTTAGGTCTTGACAAAACTTAATTTATTGACTGTTTTTCGGTTGTCATCTTTATTAACTACTCCTGAAAGTGCTGCTTCCTCACATGAACAGCTGGTTTCCATGAATATTGAGGAATTGAGCAATTTTGAAAGTTGTGTTGTCATTATTATTATTATTTTCTTTTCAACTTTGAGAATTCATAAAAACATCTTTTTCCTGGGTTGAGAAACCTACGAAGTCATTGGTTGGCTGTTAGCAAAGCTTTGAACTATTGATTATTCTGTGCAGCAGCCAATAACTTGATATTCTTTTTTTTTTTTCTGAATACTTTTTTATTTGTAGTTGGACACAATATCTTTATTTTATTTTTACGGGTTGCCGGGGATCAAACCCAATGCCTCACTCATGCCAGGCAAGTGCTGTACCACTGAGCCACAACTCTGGCTCAACAACTTGATATTCTTGTTCTCAATGCAACAGAAGTAATGTTTATTAGATATGGTTTTCTTATTTTCTCTTTTCAATACCTGCATCTTTTTGTGTTAGAAATGGTATGGAGCAATTCGTTTCCTCAACCATTTCCAACGGTATGGGACTATTTCTTTTTTCTCTGTGTCCACCTGTCTTCCCACTGTATTTTTTATCCCAGCAGCTGCCCAGGAGCCAGTCTACCTAGGATGCAAGTAAGTAGAGAGAGCTTTGAGAATTCGTTTTGAGGAAACATCAGACTTTCATTCAGATTTCAGTAAAAGGACAGGGAGCTGGGACTGCAGCAAATCCCTGATTCCTTCCCTGGCTAGCAGTGCAGGAATACCCCTTGGCCTCAACCCTGTCTCTACCCCAACCTGAAAGGACAGATGAAAGACAGACACTGTCCTTCAGTGACTGTTCTCCTTATCTTATTATGAGCCTTTATCACAAACACAGTGATACTTTTTACATTCTCCCTTAGAATTCTAGACTCAAAGTGCTTTTGTTTTAAGCAATGATTTTTTTTAAAAATGGAGTATTTGGATCCAAAAGGAGAAACTTGTTAGAAAATGTGGTTTCACAGTTGCTATATAATTTGGGGCAAGTCATTGGTGTTTTAGAAATGAGGTTAAGAATCTCAAAGATGAATCAAAATTGCAGTGATTGAAGGAAGCTAGGGTGGTTTGCTCATACTCTAATCTGTGGAGAAGTTGTCTGCAAAAATATGTGAGTAAATGAAAATATGAAAAATTTGTCCTCCAGGGACGAAGCAGTATTTTAGATGAAGGAATTTATAGCAATGTCTCTCCAACTTGAGGTGGAAGCTTTCAGTAGTATTTAACTATGGGTCTGGGACTGCTGGATTTGAAATAAGTAAAACTAAGCGTTTAGAAACTTGTGTAGCAATTTGGCAAAGCAATTTTATGTCTGTTGTCTTTAATAATGAAACACTTGGGATTTTATTTTGTGTGTCTCATTTTCTAGGAACTTATTTTAATTGTATCTTAAAAATCATTGGCCCACAAGGCTGGGGGTGCAGCTCTCTGGTGAAGCACTTGCCTAGCCTGTGCAAGGCCCTGGGTTCTATCCCCAGCATTGCAGAAAAATAAAAATAAAAATACAAAAGCAGCATCTGGTCCTTTACTGCAGATAGTTTGAGTTCTTTGAGAAGATCTTGTCGGTCTACATTGCAAATTAGCCCCTGGTTTATTACTTCATGGGCACAGAATAAATAAATGAATTAAATAAATAATTAAATGAATTAAATAAATAATTAAAGTGTTAGGAATTCAGTTTACTTCATGAATTCTATGACTTAGACAAAAAAAACTTGATTGTATCTGTTTTCTCCAGTGAAAAAAAATCACACCCATGCTACTATGATAGAAGGAATAGTAATAAAAACCTGAAAAGAGCTAACTCTTTGGAGACATGAATAAGATAGGTAGTGTTGACCTTTTAGTGAAAATTGAAATCCCAGACATGAGGACTTACATTAGGAGGTTTGTACTAGACCTCTCAGAAGAATTCAGTTTTATTTCTTGTACACTCATATATTTTTAAAATTTTTAACAACAGAGATGCACTTTGGACTTTTTCATTAGTTTTTGTTTTCAGTTGTGCTGGGGAACAAACCCAGGTTATGCATTTTACTGCTGAGCTACATTGCCAGCCCAGAGAATTTGTATTCTTTTTTAAAGTATTTCTTCTAGACTCTTAAATATTGTTGTTAAATATTATATAAAATCGCACAGGTGCACATTTGATTTTGTTTTGAAAAATGTAGAAAATTAGGGCTGGGGTTGTGGCTCAGTGGCAGAGCACTTGCCTAGCATGTGTGAGGCACTGGGTTTTATTCTCAGCACCACATATAAATAAATAAAAAATAAAGATTCATCAACAACTAAAAAAATTTTTTTGTTTTGATATAGAAAATTTATCTTGTTCTCCAGTTGAATATCATGCTGTTCTGAGAAGTTGGTAAGATAATGATTGGAAGAACAAGTTCAGGACAGAAGTTTCACTCCAGTGAGAACAGTGACATCTCCAATACTGTGTACTCATGGTACCCTCTTGGAAAATACACTGCTGGTTATCATTTTTTTGTTGCTGTTGTTTGTAGTCAGAAGACATTTTCTTCTTAACTTTGATTATATTCTCCATCTGATTTTGGTTTGGTTCTCCTAGAGAGGGACATATTTCACTCCTGTTACATGTTGGGGACTGCTATGGTTTGAGTTCCCAAGGGTTGTGTTGGGAGCTTGGCTCCCAGTAAGGCACTGTTGGGAGCTGGTGAAACCTTAAAGACGTGAGACCTAGTGGGGAGTCCTTAGGTCACTGAGGGTGCTGTCCTCAGAGGAACCAAGGTGGTTCTTTTGGCTTTTGGGATCCTGGCAATTTCCTTTTCCCTGGCTTCCTGACTTGCTGTACGTTCTCTTTTTCTTGCATAAATCCTGCAGTGATGCCATGGTCATCTGCCATGATATAATGCAGCCAAGGGGGCCATCATCAGAGGACAAACTGAGGGAACCGGCAGATCTTGGACTTTCAGCCTCCTAAACTGTGAGCTAGTTGGGCATGGTGGTGCGCAGGCCTAGTAATCCCGGGAACTAAAGAGTCTGAGACAGGAGGATCACAAGTTCAGTGAGTTCAATGCCAGCCTCAGCAACCTAGCAAGACCCTGTTTCAAAATTAAAAATAAAAAGGGCTGGAGATATGGCTCAGGGGCAAGGTGTGCTTGGATTCAATCCCTAGTACTGCAAACAAAACAAAGCAGTGAGCTGCATAAACTTCTTTTCCTTATACATTACCCAACTTCGGGTATTTTATTATAGCAATGGAAAATGGACCAATGTAGAGATGCTGTGACCTGTCCAGGTTGGTGGAATTAGGTGAAGTGAGCCAGTGGGTCCATCATCAAGTCTGAAGATTTGTTGCCTGAAGCAGTGATACCACATTGAATTTTGGGGGATGAGAAAGTGTTGTTGTTGAACCATTATAATCTGTAGTCAGAAAACCCTTGGATGGAAATGACAGAAATATTTTAATGGAAGAGAAATAGATTTCATTAAATCTGTTACTGATGAGCTCACTAAATAATAATAGATTCTTTTTCCTACAGTACCTTAAGTCACCCTTCTGTTCCCCATGTTATTGTTCTTTGTGTTTATTTATTTCTTAAATGTTTAGAAATTTTCCTAAAATGATGCTTTTGTTCACTTTTTCAGTACCATGCCTTGCTCTAGCACTCAGCTGTATCTGTATCTGGTATTTGTTATGTAGAACTCTGGGTTTAGCTACTCTAGAGAGTAAACTTCTTACTTTCTGCCAGGTTAGGGAGAGGCAGTGATTTGGCTGAGATCTTTAAAAAGACCTTGAATCAGTTTTGTATACGGCCCTATCTGGCATCTCAGCATTCAGAGGTATCTCTAATTTCTAGTGTTCATCTGTAAAATCTCTTCTCTGTTGATGGCCCTTGCTGTGATAATTTGCTTATATATTGATTCATTATTCCTCCCCCGCCCCGCACATACTACTGCACTGGTCTTGTTCACCTTTTATTTGAGGAATACCTGTGATGTCCTAGGCACTTCTGGATACTGGGGATGAAATGCACAGAAGAGACATGCTTCCTGCCCCCGAGTGCTCCATTCTGAGAAGTAGGGTAGAGATGATCTGACTCTGGGCAGCCTGGCCATTATGAGGAATAATGGTTTTACCCCAGAGTGTGGTAGGGTTGAGGGTGGGGTGGGTAGAACAGAGGTGCAGGTATTCTGAAGAGGGAGTAAGGTGTGGGCATTTTCTCCAGTAGGCTAAGTGTTGTACCACCTGCCCACTCATTGTTCATATTTTAAATATGTGTTAAAATATAGTCTGATCCTGTTTGCTTTCCTCTTCTGTTTGTCCTTGTGCCTTTGAAGTCCTTTTTTTTTTTTTTTTTTTTTTAAGTATTAGGAATGGAACCCAGGTCTTTGACACATGGTATACAAGTGCTCTACTACTGAGCTACCACACCCTTAGCTTTAAGTCTTTTTAATTACTTTTTTTTCCCTTTTGTTATTACTGGGATGAATCCAAGGACAGTCTATCAATGAGCTGTACCCCGAGCCTTTAAAACATT